TTATCCTCTTTTAATGCAACATGTTCCAAATAGTAACAGGTCAAATGTCTATAAATATAAAGCCACTGATGAGTTGGCATGAATGAGTGAAGTCTGAAAGGGAGGGGTGGAAAGTACTTGAGTAATTGTGCTTCATTACTATACTTAAATATTATTTGGAGGTATTTATACTCTACTTGAGTGTTATTGAAGCTGAATAATTGCTCTTTTACTTAATTACATTTCCAAGAAAAAACTCTTACTTTTTACTACTCACATTTTTATTTAGACCTTCAGAGTACTCGTTACAAATCTCTTGTTCTCTCATCCCGCCAATGACTATACGCTATATGGGTTTCTGCTCATTATATTTGCTTTTTTATCTGCATTTTATTCACATTTCAATATAAAGCATCCAGTCAAATCCTTCAGTGTTAAAAAAAACTCTCAGGAATAGTGCAAATTCATCATCTGCTGCAGCATACCAAATCTCTTTAATTAAACATACTGGAGAGGCCAGAAATTGAATAGTGGGTGGGCCTGGGTAAAACAGGGTGGGCACAGGTTCGAAAAGGAAACTCAATTACCAGCAGTTGCTCAAAAGAATGACTGCAGAAAGTGGTCAATGAGTTGAAAGGCTGTCACTCAAGAGGTTTGTTCATTTGCCAGTTGATCAAAAATGCCAATTGTTTACTGTAGCACACACACACACACACTCTCTCTCACACACACACAGAAAAATGTTGCCACAGCTACAGCAGGTAAAAAACACACATTTCAGGAATTTTGGCAATCTATAGGCTTAAGATAAGCACAACAAATGGGCTGTCACAGAAGGCACTGAGTAGTGCTTAAGATATTAACTAAATCCAGCAGCTAAACACATCACACCTAACAGAAAATCCTAAAATGCAAAACAACTGGCTGCAAAAAAATAGGCTGATAAATTTAGAGATGTTTATACTGCTGTGTTTTACAAGTGATTTTAATATTAAAGCTAACTAGAATCAATGAAACACCAGCTACAGTTATCCAAAATGCTACAGCCACACAGCTAGCGTATGTGAAATTAAATCACACATTTTAAGCACCTTTCTCAATCAATAAAGATGCAGCATAAACAAGAAAAGAAGGATTGCCAACCTTTGAACAAAATTTTAACATTAGCTAACATAAGCTACAACAGAAACTGAGAAATGTACAGACTCGCATGCAGACTCAAATGCACAGACTCTATGAAGTGTCGTAGTTACATTAGGTTTAGGTTTGTTATGCTTAACTGTTAATGTTTGCAGGCCTATCAAGCAAACGTAACATTTTTGTATTCAAACGGAAGGTTTCCTACAGGCTATGGTGTTAAATTGCAAGGGAATAATCTAACCAATAATATTAGGACAAAATATTGTCTCAGAAGAAACTGACAAATCACAGGAACTGTTTTAGCTAAGGTTTCTTTTAAATCTATTAGGAGAACCATTATAACAGTCTGTCATTGGTTTGTGATGAAATTTTAAATTATTTTTAATAATAATAATAATAGTAATAATAAATAATTTTATTCAAGTGAGGATTTTAACAGAAGACCTAGCCAGAATTGCCCGCTGTCAGATTTAAATCGTTTTATTCACACAAAAAAAACTACAGCAAAAGCCTGAGATTTCAGGTGATAAAAAGGAAACCTGGCCTACTCTTATGCATCTGATTAAAGATAATGTGTACAGTACACAGCCATAATTTAGTTGTACATTCTTTATTGAACTAGCCTGCTACATGTTCACACACCACGTGTAGATAAGTTTATACCAGTCGCTAAGCGATGGTCACTCACTGTGGCTCATTAAATTGGCAGCTCCTAACAAGCAAGAGCTAGGTTTTAAATAATGTAAACAAGTAATGTAAACAACCCTTTGCTACAAGAGTGCTTTTCTGGGTAGGCCAGGTCTCCAAGTGGGTGGGCTTCGCAACTGGTTTAAAAACATTTGCTTTTTAATACTTGAGTATATTTAAAAGTAGCAAATTTTTGACTTGAGTACATTTTTGGCTGGACACTTAAGACTATGACACATTATGTATACTTTCACTTATGTAATTTTTCCACCCTTGGTGAAAGGTAAACTATTTATATCCACCTTAGCATGTCTCTACTCTTTAAATTTAGTAGACCCTAATCTATTTTTAAGAACATTTAACATTCTTAACAGTTTCCTCTAAAAGTGATGGGGGAAAAGTATTTGTCTTTGACTGCCCTGGGCTTTGTAATCAGCAAAATGTTTAATTAGGGCCAGTTGTATTAACCAGTTTTGCATGTGCATGGGCAGCCCATTCAAGTGTAGGCTATAATGACCAGGAAGTACAATGCTAGCTTGATGGAGTAAGAGAGTCAGACTCCTTGAAGTAGGAGAAACTGATTGAACTGGAATCAGGTGTGTAAGTGCTTGGGGAGAAAAAGCCTTGCAGCCTCACAGGCACTTTCTGGATCCTGATGCTATACTGTACGCAGTGGGAATGTATGTTTTCAGGGGGTGGGGCTGTGATGAGAGACTTGGCAAAAGACACTCAATTTAGTTTTCAATTACATTTTATTTGTACAGGGTTTTTAAATAATGGACGTTATCACAAAGCAGCTTTACAGAAATCTGACATCCATGACATATAACAAGATAGAAGAGGTGGACTTCTGTGGCTTGCATTGATTACAACTGCTTACAGTTTTTTGTAGCATGTGGCGTAGTGTACTATTAGCTGTTTAACTGTGTGTGAGTCTCACCACTTTGTTTACTACCCCAATTTTTACATGAATGAAAGTGCAGATTTTTCTGAAGGAAGAATATTATTTTCTTATTTTCTGCATATTTTCAGCTAATTTCAGCATGATCTGAGTGCTGGCTAAATGGAGAAGACAAGCTTTTTATTACCTGGATCAGGAGTGAAGGCTCCTTTTTCATTTTACAGCTGAATGTAAAACTCCTTTAATTGAGTTTTTATCTCAAGGCTTCTTGTCCCAAATAAAGTGAGACAGAGAACGTGCTGTAAATGAAGTATTACATTATTTATTCTCTTATTAGTTGTCAAAGTTTCCCTTAAGCTTTAATATGAAAGAAATGTCATGACTGCAGCTCAGCTTTTTGAACTTTGGCATGGGGGAAAGGGTGATTCCGCTGAAGAATGATAGAAGTTTTTTAAACACGGGAATAGGAAAACAGCTGGCTGTATATATTAAATGGCTGCAGTGTAGGAGGCCCTGCTGAGACTGGGGACTGACACGCAATGTTTGAAGCCTACTCGAAAGGGGAGGATTTGGTGTAGTGTCATAGATAAGAAATGGTCTGTGCGGAGAGGAACCTTTTCATCATCAAAACTGATAAAAAAGAAAGAGGGGGAGCACACTTCTGATTGATATGAGAGATAATGTAGGTTAGGCATATTCACTCAGTGAGGAGTCTTCATAAAGGGAAAACATTTTATATAGTTGGATCAGCTTGTATGTTACACAAGTGCTGATGTGCTCCATAGTCCATTTAGACTTTCTACTTACTCATGTATGTATAATGTCTGTCTGGTAGATTAGAAGGCCATTTATCAATACACACATATACACAAAGCATCTCATGTCTCCAGGTATATCTATTCCTACATTCAGCTCCAGTACATCACTGTGATTCAACCACGATCTTCTCTAAATACAGGCCAGTCAAGAGCTGTTTCACCGAGCCCATAGATGCTGTAGCTGATTGAATCAGGAGCTGTCAGACCTGTGTCAAAGATTGACCAAGAGACTAAGCACCTCTGTGAGAGACTGGCTTAGCACGGCAGCATGGATGATATAATCCTGACTTTGTGACAGGCCTTAGAAGGAAGGGTTAGAGCCCTCTGTATATCTGAAGTTAGGCTTAAAGAAATCTCTGAAAGATCTTTCCCAAGCTACAGGCATGGCTAAGCACTTTTTATTCTTTTCTCTTCAGGGGTCCCCACTGCTGCTAATTCACACACTGTCTTAGAAGCTATGAAGCCCTATCTGTTTCCCTCCTAAGGGTGACTTCAGGCAGGCAAAGTACAAAGAGTTCCTAAAGCCATCTGCTAATGTCCATTATGTGTTCTTTATAATGCTGAACACCTCTGGTTATTCACTCCAGTGCATCAGAGTATCTGTTCTCGTTAGAGACTTCTTTTGATTTCTTGGAGTCAAATGATTCTGAATGATCTGCAGTCTGAGTCATGCATATGACAAGTTATCAGGCCTACTTATGGAAAGCCATCATCTTGCCAGATCCAGTTAATCAGATCCTGAGTATTTAGACATACGTATATGTAACACTGTTAATTTTAACAGCTAATTAGCAGCTTGTCTTTTGACTAAAAATAGTTTATAGTTATAGATATATTTTAGTCATTTGACTATTGTTACTTTTAATCTAGATTTAGTTGATGCAAAAATACAGCAATTTCAGTCAATTAAAACTGAACAGTTTTAATCAATAAAAACAAATGATCTCAGTCTTTCCCACATCAAATGTCCCTAATATATTCTTTTTCAGTTTCTAAAACACAAATTCAACAATTTCATTCTTAAATGAAATGCTGGACTGCTTTACAAATACACATTATCATTACAGACTTTCTGCTTCTCCTTTTCTGTGCTCTGGCTGAAAATGTCATATGGCCAGAGCACAGAAGCAGCTCCTTCATAATGAATTGAATGCATCTAATAATGTTGCTCTGATGAGCTCATTTGCTTCCACAAAGTTGGAAGCAAACAATTTTTTATTTAAAGTGAAGTGACGTGATGTGTAGCCAAGTATGGTGACCCATACTCGGAATTTGTGCTCTGCATTTAACCCATCCAAGTGCACACACACACACACACACACCGTGAACACACACCCGGAACAGTGAGCAGCCTTTTTTGCTGCGGCGCCCAGGGAGTAGTTGGGGGTTCGGTGCCTTGCTCAAGGGTCTCACCTCAGTCGTGGTATTGAGGGTGGGAGAGAGCTCTGGTCATTCACTCCCCCCACCTACAATCCCTGCCGGACCTGAGACTCGAACCCACGACCTTCAGGTTCACCTTCAGGTTACAAGTCCGAGACTCTAACCATTAGGCCACCTGTTCCAGCATGACGAGGCCCCCATGCACAAAGTGAGGTCCACGAAGACATCGCCTGACATCAGTGCCCAACCTCACTAATGCTCTTGTGAATCAATGATCAAATCCCCACAACCACATTCCAAAATCTAGTGGAGAGACTTCCCAGGAAAATCAAGGAAAATGCTACTACATTTCATCATATATTTTGAGCAGAATTATTGTTTTGTTATCATTTAGTTTTTCTGAGTGATTGTCCAACAAGCTCATATATGTGTAATAGTGAGGTGTCCACATACTTTTGCCATATAGTGTATTATGTTTGAGAGTAGTCATTGGAGACTATTAAATATCTAGCCCTTTTTTCTATAAAGATAGGAGGAGTAGATTAGCATTTCCATATTCCATATTACTTTATAAACATTAAACATACAGATTGTTTTCTTCTCTTTATTTAGTATGACTATTGTACAGTATATGGTTCATGTTTTGGGACTGACCAATATGATCCCATAATTTCCATCCCTTTGTGTCTGTCTCTGTCATTCTCATTGCCTTTTTCCCTTCCTCTCACTGTCAGGCTGGCAGAAATGGAAAGCCAGAGCTGCTCCTTCTTCACTGACAGCCTCTCTCCAGATGAAAGTCTGTGAGTATGCTACCTGCCACCCCCACACACTGAAACCTTTCATTGCCTTTTGTGTGTTTGTGTTTGTATGTGTGTGTGTGTGTGTCTGTGTGTGTTTGGAAGTGACTGGGCAGTCACACAAAAATTTAGAAAGATAATGAAAATGACCCATGGCAATGTGCACAATCTGCTCTGCTCTATAAAATTCTTTATGATTAAGGCATGGGGTTGTGGAAATAAATAGAGCCAACAGAATAAGTTTGGGGCAAAGAAATGCACTGAACTATTATGTTTGGAGCTGCATGATGGCTGAAAGTGAGGTATGCATTATGTGCGAATATATACAGTCCTCTCTGAAAGTATTGGAAAGCAAAGCATGAGGCTCGAATAATTGCAAAAATATGTTGTAATGATTTTTTTATTACCACAACTGTAATTATCTGAGTGTGTGCTGTTCTTAGTGAGTCAATACTCACTAATAAGCAGGTTGTGCTGCTTTTTTCTTCCTCTTACGGTACAGGTTGTTGAGTTTGTATGTACATTTGTGTTGCAGTGATGCACTGATATTTAGCCTAAATTGCACTTTACAGTTATGTCTCTGTGAATGTATGAATAATGTTTTCTGTTATTATTATTATTATTAGTAGTAGTAGTAGTAATAGTAGTAGTAGTAGTAGTATTGTTGTTGTTGTTGTTGTTGAGTAAGCTTTACTTCCTTCATGTAGGATACATATACATGCACCATGTACCTGTGCACCATGTGCTTTTGTTGGGTGTAAATTCACTATGCTGTTTGGTTCAGAGGATCTGTGGCACTCCACATATAAAAGTTGATATCGGTATGTTTTGATCTAGCTCAGAATTTAATTAAATCTCTTGAATCAAAGTTGCAGGTAAGCTCACTGCTGCAGCGTACAGATCATTAGGCAGAGCATTGCTGAGTTGACATGCTAATCATTTAATATTGTAGCATCTAGATCAAAGGATCGTGTCAGCATGTTCGTTTCGTTCGGCATTCTTTCGTTCGTTGTGTGTTTATCTGTGTCTTTGTGGAAGTGCACATGAGTGTGTATAAATAAGTATGAATAATGAGTATGTGTACAAGTTCTGTCACTTGCTAAATGCTTCTCTGCTGTGCACACTGTGTGTGTATCCAGTAGTGATGCATTTGTAAATGTTGCTTTTAGTCTCTGTGTTCATTGTCGGTGTGCTGCTGTGTGTCAGATCCTGTACCTGCCTAGCTCATGTGGAAGTGCATGTATGTGTGCATGGCAGTGTTGTCGCTGAGTCAATGGTGTCACTTATGTCTCATGGTGCCCTCTGCAGATACATGCATGCTTTGCCATGTGTGTGTTTATTTGCTGTGCCTTTGTTTCCTCTTGTGTGGGTACCTCAACAATGTGGGTGTGTGAGAGAAAAAAAATATGTGATATTCTTCTAGAAAATTCTAAATTTTGTTGAAAAGGAACATGACAGAATGCTTGATGGTATCTTTAATGTTAGTGTGAAAGGCTGTTGTTAATACAAAGGCTGTTGTTAATGTAAAGGTGTTGGTGTTGGTTTAGTGTGTGTGTTATCTCTTGTGCATGATGACTCAGGGATGAAGATCAGTACCTCCTGCGTCATTCCAGCCCCGCTCTGGAACATGACTGTCCGCCTGGGCCGCACTTCCTCACCCACCTTGACTGCCACAACAAAGAGGAACTGCAGCGAACACTGGCCCGTCTGGAAACCGAGAACAGGTAAGGGTGCCTACATGCATACACACGCACACACGCACACACACACACTGCATACTATACATAGCACAGTCAGCTGTCATACATAGAACAGTGATTTATTTATATAGTGTATTCAGCTGCTTTGTTTTACAGAGAAATGGTTTCTCTTCTTCTGTGACTGATGAGCTTTGTTAACTAGAAGTTATCCAGAGGAGCTAAATGAGAGCATGGAATTTTCTTGCAATTTGTTTTGATAACAGTCGATGAAGGCCTAAAAGCACATCTACTGAAACTGCTCTGAGCTATTTCAAGCCAGAATATGAATGAAATTCATCTGCATTTTTCATCCACTGTGCCCACTGAAATGATGACTAATCATTTGGATCAACTACTAGTGCTCTCTTAACTTTTTTTTGCATGAAGGTCTCATATCCTGTAGCACTAGATCCTGTATCTCAGACCTAGAAGCAACAGCAGAAAGATGAATAGCAGCAGAACTTCCATAATCACATATTTAAGTACCATAAGCAATGACACATTTTTATATGAGTAATTTCCATTTTTTTAGTTAAATAACCTCTGATCTTTGGGTCTGGTGTCAGATTCTGGCAGGCATCCAAATAAGCGGTCAGTAAAGCAGGTCTAATTGTAAAGGTCTGCAGGGCATCTGCAACCTTTAGAAATCTGTATTTCATGCTGTTGTCAGTGGCTTCAAGGCCCATGTGATGGCTGCCTCTATTAAAAGCCTATTAGTATTGTAATAAGAATTTGAAGCATTGCTACAACTGCTAATATGCAGGCTGTTTCTGTAAATGGAAGATGTCAGAACATATCCTTCTTTGCACATATTTTTTTATTGCAGTGTTATTTTTCAGACGACAGTTATAGTGACTCTAATCACTGTTGACATTCTTTACTCCAGCCAGCCACTGGAGTCCACCGCATCTCTTCCCACAGCTCCATCTAATCCTTCCCCCCGAATCATCTCCCTCTATACACGTACATGCAAACAGTTCAATGATACCTTGATGTAGCTTCATGATCCAAGAAGTGAGTTTTCTGGATTTTTTTTTTTTTTGACACATAGACTTTTCCATAGATTTAGCTGGGCATGCAACTGCTTTTTTTTTGCAACAAGTCTGCACCCAATCAAAAATCTCAACACTGTGACTATGATTCCAAGAGAGGATAATTGTGTCTGCTCTCTGGATGGGAAGGGTGGCACTCCTCTTTCCACTGTTGATTAGAGTGACACTAACAAATTGCAGACATCTGTCAGGAGGAGGAGGGCAGTTGCATGATGTTGCATTAGCATTTTGAAAAGATACGATGGCGGGAGGCAGAGACACACATGACTCAGGGGAAGCACATGTTAGTCTTCATCCTCCCTGGCTGTTTGCTGGGGTGAACTAGCTTTGGGTATTTGTCCTTTCTATTGTTTTTATATAATTTTAGAATACCACTTTTTGTGCTACTTTAATATTTAATGTTTACTTCATGGTCTGTCTTTGGTTCTGAGAAAAATAGCAGAGGAGAAGAAGAAATAGTGCAGTATTCTCTTGTCCCCTGCACACAGAGAAGCACTCAGTAAAATGAATGTCATTGAATACACTTCACACCAAAGATACAGCTCATCCAAATAATAAAATATGTGACAGTGAAGGGGGAGCAACGTTTTCTCCAAACTGGATGGTGAGAACAAATACCTCAAAGGGATCAGGAACCTATGAATTACACAGGTAACTGTACACTTAGAGGAGACAAAGCGTCATATGTATTCCACTCAGCATTTACACCTTGGACCCAGGAAGCTTGATGAATACATTGAAAATTGAATGTTGAAAGAAAAGAGAATTTAATTAAAGCCAGAAGAATATCCAGCTTAGTAACCCCAGACATTTACAATGCTGTGAAAAAGGAAGAAAAAACTCACCATGAAACATTAGTTTCTTGTTCACTGATTCAAAGAAAATGTCTTTGGACTCACTGGTGATGCCTCATTAAACAGCACAACTATACACAACCACAGAGTTCATCAGGAAATGAAAGTGCAAAATGTAAGGGTGTTTTCAGCCAATGCAATCTGTGGATTTAAATCCAATAAAGCTTGCATTTCCCAATATAAATATAGCAGCTGATGGAAAGTAGATGGAAATGATGAGCATAATGATGATAATGAGGATGCTGATAGTGACACACTTACAGTATACTCACTTTAATGCTGCATTAATGCATCTGAAAAAAAAAAATACATCTCATGTCATCTCAGCATAGCTGTTCTATCTACAACTTTGGTCAAAAAATATAGTTAAATAGTTAAATAAATATTAAAACACTTTCATGTATTTGTCACATCCTGAAATTGTGTCAGGGCTGTGTTAGGGCTGAACCATGTTCTCACTGCAATCAAGCTACACTCGGGTTCTACTGGAAGTGGGCTGAGACCATCTCTCACAAGCACTCAAGGCTATCAAGGTTGTTTGCTAAAGTCCCTACCACAAATTTGTTTTTTGTGCCATTGTATACTTTTCATTTGGTTTAGTTGATTTCACATTGAAATGATTTTCAGGCACACCGAATTGTTTGCATGCATGGTTGTTCTTTGATTGATCAAGAACTTGGCCTTGTATATTGGTTCCCATTGGTTTCGTCTGCATGTCATGCAAGTACATTTTATTAGTGAAAA